GATGTTTCCACCTCCAAGGGTGTAAAAGTACATCAAAAATCATTTCTACTTCTGCCCAGCTCTGCTCCCCATTAAAGCACCACATCTAATCATCAAACTGAATTCATCAAATCGTTCAACTGTGCACTGAATCTTCGGTCTGGTCGCCTTGGACCTCAACAGTCTGTTCTCTCCCACAGTGAGCAGCTCTCCTACAGGGTGTTTGTGGGCAAACACAACCTGGTTGAAGATGAAGCTGGCTCCCAGGCCATCCTGCCCGAGAAGTTTGTCGTCCACGAGAAGTGGAACCCCATCTTTGTGGCTTTCGGGTAACGATGAGTTTTATGGCGTTCCAAGTGTGAAATAAAATGCTAAAAAATGTCACCAACACATTTTTTATTATTTAGCTCACTTTCTGAGTGTAAAATGTTAGTATGAAAATTCCCACTAACAATTTTTGTTGTTATTGAGCTAACAGTTGCATTTTGCTAATTTGTATGTTTAAATATAAATGTTTAAATGAAATTGTAAAAATTAAATCTTACTTGTTGCGGCTAAATGATAAAGTTTGCATTTGTGAATTTTGAAATTAAATGCAGCCTTTGCTGTTGGTGTAAGGGTTTATTTTCATGAGACTACAGTGAACTCTAATGTTGCTAATGCTGCTAACATGGCTAAAGCTGCTGAAGATGGGATTTAAATTTTAAATTCAAAATGCATTCATTGAAAACAATACGATGGTACGTGTGGTTCGGTAGTTTGAAATGCAGTTCGGACATCGGCCGCAACTGCAAGTTTGACGCCTTAATGCGTTAACAGTGTTAGCGTTTGCATTAGCAGCGCTATCAACGTTTGCTTTTATCACAGGAAGATTACGTCGTAAAAAAAGCCGTGCACTAATGGCAAAGTCTGTGTTCCATTCTGAAATATTTACATGTAAACATTAATATTTAACCCCAGCAGTTCATTTAATGCATTTAGATTTACCAATTTAGATTCAGTATTCATCAGATGTAACATTTAACATTTCAAATGAACATTTAGTAAAAGTTAGCAATATGTAAGAATTAGCTGCTGCACCTCTGCCTGAAGCCTGTGATGCTGTTTAGTAGTAAAAATGATCAGGGTATTTTTAATAATTAGGATTTTACACTAAGAAAGTGAGCTAAATAATTATTAGATAAGAGTTTTTTTTTTCTCAATATCAGTGCAACTAGTTTGTTTATTGCAGTAAAGGGGAATATTCTTTAAAGCATTTAACATATTTAGTTTACTATTAAACATTAAGATGGACTTTTTCTTTTAATTTCACAACAAACAGAATGACAGCCAAAATAACAGACTGCGCCATTTTTCATAATCTCATCTGTTCAACTTCTTTCATGTTGAAGGATGCTTTTAAATGACCTGTCAGCGTTCCCTCAGCTTCTTGTCCTCCTTTCTGTCGCTCTGTCTTGCAGTAACGACATTGCCCTGATTAAGTTGTCCGAGCCTGTGACTTTGAGTGATCAGGTGAAGTTGGCGTGCATTCCCCCTGCTGGTACTGTGCTGGAGAACCTCTTCCCCTGCTACATCACTGGGTGGGGCAGGATCTACAGTAAGTTGAGGGGGTGGGCTGTGTTAATGAGTGGGTTTTGTCCCTTTGAGTTAGGATGATGAAGAGCAGTTGAGAGGAACAGTTCTATGGGAGTGATTTAGGTTACCCAGTGAAGACTCTGAAAATTGAGAAGAAAATAAAAATCACGTGTGAGATTTTAGCTGGGAAAATATGTATATCAGGAGGATTACTCTGAAATTGAAAATTTGGGTCACTCTGTGTGTTTTGCTCATGGGGAGATGCTGTAAAGCAGCTTTGACAGCCAGGGAGTTTATGTGTATGATGGTAATAGGCTCTGTTTGTGTGTTTTTAGCCGGAGGCCCCATCGCTGATGAGCTGCAGCAGGCTTTGATGCCTGTGGCCGACCATGCCACCTGCTCCCAGCTTGACTGGTGGGGCATCGCAGTTAGGACCACCATGGTGTGCGCTGGTGGGGATGGAGTTGTGGCTGGATGCAATGTAAGTCAGTGATAACCTTTCAGTTTTACCGTGGTTTTTAAGCTCGTCTTTGGTAAACCTATACCCACTTGCATTTCAAACCTTCTGCAGATCGTCAGTTAAAGCAGAGCAAAGAGGAACTGGAAGCCAATCTGTGTTTTAGTGTCAAGCTGTGGAGAAATATCCCTCACTTTTAGATTATACTCTGTGAATCATTGATTTTGATTGTGATTTTTCTTGTTGTTTGCCAGGCAGCTGCTAGCTGCTCGGACTGAATAAAATATGAAGCATCTTCTCCTGTCTCTTTGTCCAGGGTGACTCCGGTGGTCCTCTGAACTGTAAGAACGCTGATGGTGTCTGGGAGGTCCATGGTATTGCCAGCTTTGTGTCTGGTCTTGGCTGCAACTTTGTAAAGAAGCCCACTGTCTTCACCAGAGTCTCAGCTTTCAATGACTGGATCGATCAGGTACGACATAAACACGGTAATGGCTTTCTTTTTGTTGTTGTTGTTTTTGCCTAATTGTTTCCTCTTTGTCTCTGCAGGCTATGATGAACAACTGAAGAAGAAAATATCCCAATAATAATACCCAGTACCAGATTTGAATGTGATGTGTGTGTTTTATGTATGATCACAGAACAGAAACTAGTAAACTTTTTTTTTTGTTTTTGTTTTACATATATTCATCACCTGCTGCTGCTGAAGGTGAAACCATTCATATTTTGCCAGTGTCTGTTTGGGTGTTCATTTGTCTATGGATTAAAATAAAACAGAGAATAAAATATCTAAATGAACCAGTGGGCACATTTAAATGAAACTTGCAAAAAAATAATTGGATGTGTACAACTAATTAACTTATGAACTAAACCCCATTTAAGATGGAGGCCACAGCTAAGGCAAATTAGCCAACCCTATAGTGACAGTCAATTTTACAGATACTAATCCAAAACCTGATTTGGTAGTGCAACACTAATTCCAATGAAGATGGGATGTTGTGTAAAACATAAATAAAAACAGAATACGATGATTTGCAAATCCTTTACAACCTCAGTTGAATACACTACAAAGACAAGATATGTTCAAATGGATAAACTTTATTGTCTTTTGCAAATATACACTCATTTTGAATTTGATGCTCTGGGACAGGGGCAACAAAAAGTTGAGAGAAGTGCTTAAAAAAACAGCTGTTTGGAGCAATCTAAAGGTGAACTGCCTGCAGTCCAGACCTGTCTCCCATTCAAAATGTGTGGAACATTATGAAGCACAAAATACAACAACAGAGACTGTTTAAGCAACTTCAGCTGTAGATTAATGGGAAAGAATTCCACCTACAAAGCTTCAACAGTTAGTGTCCTCAGTTCCCAAATGCTTACTGAGAGTTGTTAAAAGAAAAGGTGATGTAACACAGACGTAAACACGTCCCTGTCCTAGCTTTCATGGGACATTGTAATTCATTTTTATTTATGTCTTACATAAATTCCCATCTTCATTGTAGGGTTGTAAATAAGTGATTTCCAAACTTACTTCAGGCGACTCAATCTGTGAGATTGTTGCTTAAAACTTTTAACATTAACTATTGATGTCTGTCATGAACCACTGGACAGATTGTAATGAAACTCTGAGAATTTAATTGATATATGCACATGTATGTTGGCATTTCAAATCAAGGAATATCAAGATGATCACCACAGATGAACAATATAAGCCAACACAAAAGTTCATTTAACAGGCGTTGAGCTAAGTTTGGTGTGATACCCGAGAGTCTTCCTCAGCACTCTCATGTGCACATTCTCATTTATAAGGTTTGAGCAAAATGACCTTAAATGTCTTTTTTAAACTTAAAGATAAATTTAATATAAAACAGCTAGGCCTTAAAACAATCTAGGGGCTCATTTGGCTACTTTACACAAGCCGATGTCAGAAGCTGAAACAGTGTCAATAATCCTCCAGCAGATGTCCTCATACACTCATGATCCAGAATTGTTTCTGACAGCTTTCCAACTCGGGATTTTGTGCATAATAACCAATGTTTCTGTGTGGAAAACAGCATGAGCAAGCACATATGGTTCATTTTGTTAAAGACAAAAAGGCAGATAAAAAATAAAAAGATTTATTCAAACTGTTGGATCAGATCCCAAACAATGTCAAGTAGAAATCTCGATAAGATTGAAAGCTGTGTGCTACACAGAAAATTAAGACCTATAGAGTTAATAACCGTGCATGGAACTGACCTGGTTTGTCTCTGAACACGCTCACATGCTTAGAAAATGTGAATAGTTTATGAAAACCATAAAACACTCCTGCAGAGGAGATTATTTCCTCAAAATAAAGAAGGCCAGTATGTGACAAGGCTGAGATGAACATTTCTGTCTTCTCCTATTCTTATTCTCTCTCTGTGTCCACGCTGTAATGACGTGGATGAAAGAGTAAGTGGGGTGAAAACCAGGAAAGAAATGAAAGTGCCTCTCTCTCTGTCTCTCTTTTTTTTCTCTGCTTTTCTTTGTCTGTCTTCTTTCTCTCTGCCAAGACACAGAAACACTTTTACTGTACCTGAGAGAAAGAAAAGAAATGTCACCACTGACAGGAGATGAAATGATCCTGGATGACGCTTCTTTTACGAGCGAGTAATAATGACTCTGCATGTATGTGCGTCTGCACGCTGCATTAAAAGCAGATTGAAGGAGAAGTTACTGAGCTCCTCTCTACACGGCCCTTATTTTCTCCATCTGCATACATATGAGAGCATATTTCTCGTGTGATAAATCACACATCAGAGGGAGTGTTCTCTGGAGTGTCATCCTGTGGCACCGTTACTACTGCCCCATCTCCTGTACAGTTTACAAATCACCCGGCCTTTGACCCGTTCAGCTTTATTTGAATGAAAATGATCGCTCATTCCAAAAGCATTCATAAAGATGAAACCAGAGCATTTTTATTTCTAGGTCATATGGCACACATTGGAATATGTTAAGTACTGCAATCTAATGAAATTAAATACAAATGAACTGTGATGCTAGTGTAATTAATCCCAGTTGAGCTGTAAAACAATGTGAACCTAGTGCTGAAATAATTATACTGACTTATAACATAATAACTCCTGATCAGATTATTACTACAATGACTAAAATGAATACAAAATCACTGATGTTCATAAATGATTAAATGCAAAGTACTGTAAAAACTAATATTTATACATTATTTCTAATTTCAATGATTTAATCTTATATTCATTTACATCAATTTGCAGTTATACTGTCAGCCAGTACATTTATCTTGAATTACAGTGATTCAGTTTGAAATAATAAGATGTGTCTGTTTGATTAATTTCCTGGATCTCTACCCCAGTAAATCATCCTTCTGGTGCGAGTAGTGGGAATGAAAGTAGGGCTTTAAAGAAAGCTTTGTCTCATCTGAACTCTGCATCCTGGTACCCCTCTCCCTTCAGACACACACAGACAAGGTTTTCCAGTATTTGTGAGGACAAATGTGAATATAGTGTATTCATAGTTACTCCGAACTTCATGGCTATGAACTAATCTGCATTCCATGCTGAACAATCAAACATTTAGACATTTTTAGCCATTAAAGTGCCCAAAATGTCCCCACTTTCTGAAAAAAAAAAAAAAAAGCATCCAACCCTTCAGGGTCTAAAACTGAAAAGGGGTCTTTACAAAGAAGGAGGTCCAATTACTCCCACATACAAACAAAGAAAGGGACAGAGCAGAATTCCCTAGAGACACCCTGCTGCTGAGCTGAATACCAATGAGCAAAACAGGCAGCAACAAACTATTCAGCACAAGAACGGGCCCTTCAGCTTTGTGCAACTTGCCCTGGGAGACACTAAACAGAGACGATAGCTGCTGCACCTCTGCCTGCAGCCTGTGAGGCTGTTTAGTTGTAAAAATGAATCAGGATGTTAATTAATTTGGCAGTAAACAATGAATGAAAGGATTTTAAAGCCAAAACAGATCGTTTCATGACACTTCGTAAGAAGATCACAAAAAAAATTTAAGGTAATGCTGAACAAATCTAAAATCTAAAACAAAGCAAACAATAGCTAAACTAAAATGAGCAGAGTAGCTAAAATTTTAAACAAGCAGGACATCAGCTAATAACCTAAATGTTCAAACAATCAGAATACTTAAACAAAAGCTATAAAGAGAGTAGCTCTGCTAAAACAAGTAGCAAAAAGCTGCAAACAAGCAGAACAAAAGCAACCSCCCCCCCCCCCCCAAAAAAAAATGAGCTAAATCATTGCTAAAAGCTACAATGAGCAAAACAGTAGCTTAAAGATAAAAGTAGAATAATATGACAAAGATAGAAGTTTTCAAAGAGATTTGAATAGAATGTGCAGAAATAATTATGTGGGCGGTGTATTTTAAATAGAGTGAAATATTCTGAAGTTGTTGTTTTTTTCTACAAAAATTAAAGTCACACAGTTGTCAATGAACTATGAAGTATTCAGAAGTGGTTTGGTTGCAAAACCTACAGAAATAACAACAGGAAATGTGTGAACGCTGAGATGCTCACTATTGCAAATACATGAAACCTTTTGGGTTGCAAAACCTACAGAAATAACAACAGGAAATGTGTGAACGCTGAGATGCTCACTATTGCAAATACATGAAACCTTTTGGGTTGCAAAACCTACAGAAATAACAACAGGAAATGTGTGAACGCTGAGATGCTCACTATTGCAAATACATGAAACCTT